TTCAAGGTCACATCACGTGGTGAGAGTTACAATAAATTGACCAATAATCGCGACAAGAAGGTCACATCATATTGATTAGCTGTCTATCACATAGTCCATCTATCTGTCGTGATTAACAATATGTTCATAAGGCCAAGTTAAACTTTAGACACCAGTCACTTCCAATCAGCGAACGACGTCAAATTATCCAATGAGATTCACGAATGTAGTTCGATGTTGTATAGCGCCTGATTCATTTCAATGCGTGCCCTTACAAGGGAAAGACGCTATAGTCAGTTTCAAGGTCATGATGGGTTCCTGCGTCTACTGGTTATATGTTTTCGTGAATTCGTTTTCCATTGAATTTTAAAGGTTTTTTGAACGTTTTGCTTGTTTTGGAGTATGTAGGTCAGTTTTCTGTCACTGTATGCTACTAGTAAGGTTGTTTTTAGGCAGAAGTTCCCACTTATTATGTTGGTAGTTAAGGATTATGGTAAACCTGCAATCGTTGAGCTAATTCACGTACACTATGATAGTATAGTAACACTATTTAATAAATGAACTCCCTAACTGGTTTTCCATTGTTTGATAATGTGATTGAACCAGAACTGTGGGATTGTTTTATCCGCATGACCGGCTGTAATTCATCACCTTGTTCTTCTTAATAAGCATTATCGAAGGATAGGTTAGAATAAGTTTAGAATTGTTGTAAGCCTGGGGTGATTACGGTATAGGCAATAAATCGTATTAGTCGCCGTTACTCGCGATATGCTATGAACTAGAAATCTTCGGCTGATAAAACGCATTACATAAGGCACAGATCGGTGTAATTTGTAACTGACTTGCCAAGCGCTCTCATCAGGAAACAATCAACCAAAGTATGCTTTAAACTGTCGCTCTCAGGCATTTGAAGGGAAAGGAAGTGTAACACAGTTTAGACATAGATATTTATATTGTGAATACAAATGGAAACAATAAGGTAATGCAAATATTTTCACAAAAATGATCGATTAACAGGGGCACGTCGTAATCTCAAAGTTGTTTGCGGTTCATTTGCTAGCAAAGTGTCCAACCTTCTTGTGAACTCTGCTACTTCCCGCAGTGCAGCATCCGGATTTCTTTGGTTCAGAATGTTGAGACGACGTCTTAAACGTTCATAAGCATTTCTGAACGCGTTGTTCGGTTCCGGTGTTAGGCGGATGGCTCGTGGAATGTCCTCCATGGTGTTATACTGACGTGTCCACCTGTCACTATTTCTCAGAATATCTAAGAGTAACAATTAAGGAAATGGAACTTACCACAGGTTAGATATGAATTTAAGAAAGCCTCAACGACATGAGCACATGGCAAATTGTATGCACAGTATGTCCAACACGTGCATTTCGCCTCATCCCTGTTTACGAAGAAGATGTGACCACCTTCTGCGTAATTAACTGAAGTGGAAGATATTGAATGAAAGAAGAAGGATCGCCTTTGCAAGTCTAAGAAAACTTTCTTGACAGCAAAGGGTGTGAGACGCCGTAATATGGGCTGCAGTGAAGTATGTACCTAGGAAAAATCGTAAATTATCTTCAAACTTACATCGTAATTGTAGTATTTACAAAGCATCCACTGGCCGTGACGTATTTTACGCATGGTTGTTTGGTCAATCCACTTCCATATTTTCCATAGAGTCAGTTCCAGCGGATCCCCTTTACGTAAATATCTCTTCAGCTGCCTGTGAGCATTCTCAACTCTGTTGTTAGTGTTGTTCCCCATGGTGATGGCGAACCGGTTGCACGATGCAGCCCAATATTTCCTTGTTCTTAGCCAGTACCTTCTAATGTAAGCACCAGCCTCAGCGTCTATAACACTAATGAGATTTAGATAAGTCCAAAACCTTTGGCAATGTATTCTGATTTGTTAACCTACCTGTTGTAACTGCGCGTGTGCGCCATTCGATACAACCACTTTTTAACAAGTTTATACATCCTAGCCCGCATGTTTTTAATATCATTATACAGCAGGGCTTTGCCAAATTTACCATGCGCTAAATCCATTACTTCATGGACATCAGTATTTCTTTCAATGAACGGTTGTATAACTGCCATTTCTTGTGGTGATAACCGACGTCTAGATACATCAATGGACATGAAACTTGCTGTGCATGGATGGTTATGCACAGTTTGGTACCTTGTTATCCTGTATATGTTGGATTTGCGCCGTACTGTAATTACTGATTGACATGAAGTACTTTTGAACCTTGCAATTGTTAAAATTTACATAGACAGTAAACTTACCCTCTGTTCCTAAAGCCAGCACCTCGGGAAGCACGTTTACTTCCAAAAGTGCATTTAAACGTCACATGCTCGTATTCCATAGGACCGGATGGATCCTTCTTACTGGAATCAACCCGATACCATGTGTTGGATTCCTTTCAAAGAAATAATGAACAACTTAGTTAGTACCTTCATAAATGCATCTAAAGCTTCCTTAAATTGCATCCATGTATAAAATACACAGCAAAGCATTATCCTTTGGAATGTAGCTGTCACATCACACAATATAGATGACACATTCCGTGAAGTAGACGCAGTAGGAGTAATTTGCAACATCATTTAATGGTTCTAACAATTCCTAACGTGCACAACAAAATGATTTCAAGTAAATGAACAGTTGTATGTATTTCATTGCTTATACACCACTTTTGTGACATAGGAAATTTACTTTATTTATGTTGACCTAGTATGTGCAATTCCCACAGGTCACTAAACTGAAAACTTAAAAAAGTAGATCACTTAATACATACATATATCTACATGTCCAAAATTAAAGACACATTATACGTTTAGCAATTTTTGTTGAATTCTATTCCCATAGTAACAAAAAATGCATACATCCTATTTTGGACTTAAAATAAATGCATCAAAATTATTGTTAACTTATATTCACATACTAGACATTCTCATACATCTCAGTGTACTTTCAACACCACCAATGCATCCAAATAGCATGTGACTATCACACTACACTCACACCAAAAAAATTAACACGCCGTTATATTATGGTAAGTTAAGACTGACATTAAACTGACTGTAAATTTCCGTGTCAAAATAAAGAGACTGCCATTTTAACTTATATTTTAGACCAATAAGAAGCCAGCTAGCCAACAGCCAATCAAAATCTGCCTATATCGCTTTTCTTGGACTTAGGCTTGCTTCGAAAGGAGAGGGAGGTATCATGACCTTAAAAAGCTATATTAGGTCAATTGATGGATTTGTCCATCGTTGTGCTATATGCTCCAAGCGTGTTAGCATTAGAGAGGGTAAGTTGATAATTTTAATATTTCGTAGGAACTTTTTTTGCAATGTCGCACCTCTCCTTGACGCAAATTTTATATATCTGCAACTACTGGGTATTAAAACAGCCAGTGAGAGCAGCAGCTGCGGAGACGGAGAACAGCCTCGTCTCAACAGTTCAATGGTACCAGTATTGCAGAGATATTGAATCCTGGAAAATCGAGAAGATCACTTCGTTGTTGGGTGGAGAAGACGTTATCATGCACTTGGATGAAACTGTGATGCTGAAAAAGAAATACAACCGTGGTCGCCAGCGAGCGAATAATATCTGGGTGATAGGTTTATACGATACTTCCTTACGAAAGGGATTCGTTGAAAGAATAGGAGATAGAAAGGCGACAACGTTAATACCTATTATAACGAGACTCGTCAAACGGGGTTCAATTATACACACGGACGAGTGGAAAGGTTATAATTCGCCTTCATCCTTGGGATATAGTCATCACCGAGTGAACCATTCAAACGATTTTGTGGATCCAGTTGCCGGAACTCATACAAATTCTATTGAAGGATTTTGGGGCCGGTTGAAAAATCGGGTAAGGGCTATAAATGGATCCCGGAAGGATCTCATTTATAGTCATTTAGATGAATATATATATACATATATATACAGAGTGTGGTGCGACTTTTCTATTGACAGTCCGTTGCTGAATTGGGAAATGTTTCTGTCCCATGTTCGTGAAAGATACCCGTTGTAATTGTTTTATCCTATTTTTATGCATTTTTCTACAAATATACATTACCACTTATCATAAACGCCTCTTTCTTGTGATTGGTCCGTTCAAGGTCGTTTGCTGATTGGTTGTTACTGGTGTCTAAAGTTTAACTCCGCCGGATTTCATCATGAGCTGACAGCATTTGGAGAACCACTGGAAAACCTGGGAGGACTGGACAGCTGTTTCGTCCTAGTTTGTGACTCTGAGGATATATATATATATATCACCTGAGGTAATGGTGTAGTCAGTGGTGAAAGTCTGGAGATGTGATCTGTGGTTACTTCACATTTTTCATGATCCCCCTTGATTTTAACTGTGTAATGATATTGGGATATCAGTTTGACGTCTTATTCTTGAGGCTTATGTAAGTTTTAAGTTAAGTGCATGTTGAATTTCAGCTGTGATTGACGAATTCATTAAAACGCTTTGTTTTTAGCTGTGCAGTCTGCAGTTCTCTGTCATCTGAAGTCCCAAAAGTGATAAACAGGCTTCATCACTAAACTTGAATGTACACACATATTTCATTATGTTGTAGTGAAGTTGTGTCTACACCCTCTACTACTCAATCAAGAAGAAAATAATTAACAGATGAAGCACTAACAAAGCCTTTAATTCTCAATCTAAGATCTGAAATTCTCTACTAATTGCCCTCGTGTTTGCTCTGTTCATTTTTCCCGTGATCAGTTCTTTTCATCGGGAAATTAGTATGTACAAACTGGTTATATTGAAACTAATCTTAATTTTTTTTGATCCTTTTCTATCTGAATTTCCTGTAGCTTCTCTTTCAATGCATGGGAATTAGTCAGCCTAGAATTTGACCAATTTCTAAATAAGCGATGATATTTGTGTTATCTTCGATAATTCACATGTCGAAGTGTTCTAATCTGTCATACTTTTCCCACGCTATCTTCGTTGATCCGCTGACTTCGACATCTATTGGTCTTACCATTTTTCTTCTTTTTAACAGGGAAAGGTTGAAATCACAGAAGAAGGCATTAAATTACTTGAAAAATTGACGAAATCATTGAATTCTGCTAACACAACAAATGGTGGATGCCCCATAGCTGAAAGTCCAATGAAAGAAAACATTTCAACGCCAGATGATGGTAAAAGCAATACATCTAAGAAAAGGAAACGTGTAGCTACTCCTTCTCCTGAGAGAGTTAAACAACCCAGTTGAACTTCATTAAAGGGAACGAAGCACAATTGTGAAGGAGATGAACATTCTTCTCAATCTGGTATTACCGTTGGTACTTCTTCGTCAGTGCATATTCCTCCCTTTCATACTGAGCAGCCGATAACATCTGTAAAACAACCCACCAGTGTCAGGTTTCTCGATGCTTTTGAATATGGGGAGGAATGGCTTCCTGGCTTGTTGAAACCAACGAACTTGAAGAACTTCATCAGGTGAATTTGTTATTTCGGTTATATATTTCTAGAAATGCTTTTCATGGCTCACCACGCCAGGTTTCTGACCCATATTTAATATAAAGCGGCTTACTTAACAGTGGTGTTAGACAGAATCCGAATTTCGTTCTTTATACTGTGGAGTGCAGCTGATTTCAGAGTTATGAATTCTGCCTTGCCCTTACGATTCTTGTTTTGATATCCTCGTCCATCCTTTCTACTATAGTTGACACGATGCTGCCTAGATAAGTGAAAAAGAGGCCTCTTTCAAATTTCTTCCGTTGACAGTGATTAATGGTTGTTATTATTGTTGTTGGTTATCGGACATTTTCCTCACTTCCATTTTCTCTGTGCTCACTTGAAGTGTTGTCTCGTGAATCTGAATAGTTCAGTGGTAATGTCTCTGACTGCAGCACTCCACTGAGCGACCTGGCTTGTTGAAGTCTCCCAGAGGGGACGTCGTTAGTTCTTTCAAGATTCGAGATGCGCCTTTCTGGCTGGCGTTAATGTCAACAAGTAGGAAAGCTAGGTCCACACAGAGATTCCTGCCTATTACCTTCAACCATGTAAAAACAACAATTCAAAGTGCGACATAGTAGCTAGCCACCTAGTTTGATGGATGTCGAAGGCTGGATTCATGACGCTAAATACCATCTTGTGTCTAATCGTAATATATTGTGAATGATGTTACGTAATCGAAAGAGCTGACAACTAATTCGTTCATAGTGATGAATAATCATTTGGAAATGCTTATTGATAAAGAACAAGGAGGAACAAATAGACTAAGAATGGCCTCCATGGAGTTTATTATAGAACAAAGTCGTAAAGCTGGTGAAAAGTGGGATGGGTATGTAATCAACAGCAATCAGTAAGGTGTTTCCTCCACTAATCTGACGAGGATGCTGTATCCCCATTGTGACCATGGGCCTTCAAAAGATCAGATTGGAAGAGAGACAGCAATGGCCAAACAAAAACATGGCATCAGTCCATAAAATCTTTCAAAGCTAGTTTGAGATAATGACTTGCCGATCACCACCGCGTACCTCATTAGATCCATTGACGATACAGTTGGCATATGGATGATTTGAAACAGCCACAAAGAGATGCAAGGTTAACTTTCTGTGAGAAACAACCAATCAAAAGACTCTATTTTCTACTAACAATAATGTACATTAAAATCTATAAATATGTGTTGATTTTCCTTAATAAACGATCTGTTGCCTGACCCTTGTCTTCTGTTGTTACAGTAATAATAATCGTAATAATAATAACCGTAAATTCGTTTGCTATTGATTATTTAGCAAAATTTACCCAATAGCATATGATAACTGTGGGACAAATTACACTAGACTAAACCTAAGTTCTGCGACACTCAGTGAGTAATGAAAAGTCTTTCAATGTATATATGTGTAAAATTTGAATTGAGAATGAGGTCAACGCATTTTAAGACAACTGATACGATAACGGTCTCTTAGGCTGTAAACGCTTCCCCTAATTTCCAAATCATTTAAGGCGGAGAAATTTGCGAAACCTTCTCCATTCTCATTTATTTCACCGCATGCCACGATTGTTAGTGGCTGTCTGTTTTCGACATAGAACTTTGGACATATGTGCGGCAGTTCAAGTCGCCACACTCCATGTAGCACACAAAGCAAGAGAAGAAATTAGGAGAAATGCATAATAAAGACAGTAAACAGAGGTGTGAGACAAAGGTATAGTATAATGAAGAACACAACAGTTTCATTGGAAATCATAAGTCACAAGGAGTGGATGCATCTGCGCCATTGAGAACGATTTTGAGGCATGTCACCAATTGTTTCCAACCACTGGTTTTTACCATCCCGAGGACCCCAACCAGGAAGTCTACACCTTCCTACGTGGCTCAGACTAATTGTTGTGGAATTCATTGACTGGTGCCATGTTTCAGTTTGACTGCCGCTAGCTCTTTTCCAGCCTGACCCTATATCAGCTAAAATTGCCCGTCGAGGAAGGCGATGACTAGGCATACGTAGCACATGTCCTAGCCATCTCAGTCGATGTAGCTACTTCACAGCCTTGTCAACTGATTTCCCCTCCTTACCTAGCACTCGACGCCTAACCTCAATATTGCTCACCTTATTATACCACTTCACGCGGGAGATGGAACGCAGACACCTATGATCAAAGACAGCTAATCTTTTCATGTCCTCCGCTCTCAATGGCCAGGTCTCACAGCCATAAAGGAGGACGAAGCGGAATGCTGAGCAGTACACACACCCTATGGTCGAGAGTCTAGAATCTGTCGGAGGGTGAACATATGATCGATACACCCGCTTCCTGGCCTAAAGCCTGGCTGGTTTTCTCGTGTTTGTGCCTCCAGAGCACCATTTAGTCTACGCATGATTATTGAGCCTAGGACTTTAGATACTATATTAGTCAAGCTAATCCCTCTGTGATTATCACAGGAAGAATAGTCTCCCTTCTTGTATATCGGGATAATCAGTGACTTACACCAACCCGATGGGACTTCCTCTGATTCCCAGACGCTGCCTAGAACCTCAGTTAATGCAGTCAGTAAACTGTCTCCACCGTACTTAAATACCTCTGGAGTTATTCCATCAGGTCCCGCTGCTTTGCCTTGCTTCAGATTAGTGACAGCTTAAGTAACCTCAGTTAAGGTCGGAGGACCTGTGCCTATATCCCATTCAGGGAGGTGTTGAATGTTTGGCAGGTTAAGTGTGGCTGTAGGCCAATTAAACTGCTCTTCATAGTGTTCTTTCCAGCGCTCCAGTCGTTTATCCTGGGAGCTAATTATGGTGTCATTTTTCTCCGAGATTGTTTCGCTTATCATTTGCCTTTTGCCACCTGTTTCCCTGATAAGCCTGAATAGTTGTCTGGTGTTCCAATCGCCGATGCCTTTTCCATCTCTTTCGCTTTTGTCACCCACCACTGTTCACGGTCGTTGCAATGACTTTTTGTTAGTTTTCGTTTAAGTACCTTTCGCTCCTCATCATAATCGGAGCTCGCTGGAATCAGTCTCCTTGCGTCAGTCAGTTCAGATGAGGCGGTAGAGATCCAATGGCTTTTATTAACTTTAGGTTTTAGCTTATTAAAGGCTTTCACAGCTGTGTCTACAGCTAACTGTATGTTGTGCTAGGCCGCCTCGGGGGGGGGAGTCCTGCTGTCAATCTCAGAAACTCGTTTCGCTATTTCTTCCTTAAATAAGGACTCAGTGTCTCGATCTAGGGTTAGTGGCTGAAATTATCAGTGGTCTATCCCGGTTTGACTCAGCTAATTGTTGAATGTCTTTGAGACCATTTGAATACTGTCTGGCTAGCTGACTCCTTGGTAAAAATTTTAAATATGCAGCTTACACACAGTTCTAGGTGAGAGTTCGCTACATATATTCCTTTAGAAACCCAGCATACCTTTTAATTAGGTTCAAGGTGAAGAAAACTTAAGGAAATTCTTGAAAGATCTTCAAACTAAGTGAACACTCTCAGGTTTGAATTCCACTCCAGCTACTTCTGACGTGATATAGTACTGGAGTGCACCGACTATTGGTTTTAAGATCGAAAGTAAGGTGTTCAAATGTGTGGACCATCCTTTCACCCACTTATTTGAGAAGTCGCATCACCCTATATCGGCTGTCTGATTGTTGATGAAATTTGAGGATGGATGTGAAAGTTTTGTGTGGCGTTGGTGTGGGACCAAAACATGCCACCAATTGAAGAAGTCTCTAATTGCTGGTTTCAACTGCATATGGAGGAGGGCGCAAACACTGTCGAGGTGTGCTCCTAGAAAGGTTTAGAATCAACTGCTGGAGAAAATTGAGATGCATCGAGCATACACGCAGAAGAGACAGGTGGGTATCATCACACGAGTCTGAATTGAAGACAGGAGTGTAAGACAAGACTGCCTACTATCACCGATAACACTCTTGATAATAGTGAACTACTGGGTCACACAACAAAGCGTCAGTGTGTAGCAAGAAGACGGATATTTGTTGGGCTGAAAAAGACTCTCTAGGACTTCTGTCTTTCGAGACTCTTCTGTAACTGATGTCGTACAAACGCGAAGATCTACAGGCGAAAACAAGTTGTCAGAAGAGACAGCGAAGATGACACTCGAAGTGGATATAGAGTTGATGAAAGTACCCATCGACCAACGCTGGCAAAGATGAGGATATCGAGGCCAGGATAAAAAACAGGCAAGACAAACAATTAGTTCTGTGAAACCAGTGTGGAAATCTGCTGCACCCAGCACAAGGAACAAAGTTCGAATTTCTTATACGAATACCAAGTCAGTCAGTACTTCTATATGGCTCAGAGACTTGGTGCGTCGCTTAAAGCATTCCCAGTCGGCAACTGAAGACTTTTATCAACAGCTAACTTCGCTGACTTGACGAGAGGGCTGGAAAGGATAAGTGACAGGGACCTCTGTGGAGGCACCAAACAAGAACCTATCACCCAATAAATCTGCCTAAGGAAATTGAGACGGATTCGCCGCACGCTAAGGAAACCGTTGAGCAACATTACACGCCAGGCAGTAACTAAAGTAGAGCTTGAATTCGAAATGATAAGTCTGGGGTGGCATGCAGCAGATCGTGTGAGAATGACGAGATGAGAGCCTATGGGCAGTCGTGGAGCTAATGAAAGACGACTGCAGAGAATAGGACAAAATTTGATATACTGCTGATGCACTCTGTCCCACTCCGAACCCTAGGGGATAATACTAATAGTAAGCTCTTCCGCTTCAGTTGCATAACTGTCTCAACAGATAATCCTGATATGG